GGAAGGAACCCCATTGATTTGTATATAAATTAATAATAAAGCATTAGTTCTCCATTTTATTGTAGGATTTTGGATTTGTAATTCAGTTATATCTGCTTCATGGTTTGTGCTGATATTAGTTCTTTAACTTAATTATGACTTGTGGGTATGCATTATCGCCAATTTCTGCAGACAAGCCCTCACGCCTCAGTTGAGATTGAGATTTCAGAGGACATGCAATTAGTTCACTTTGACTTTAACAGGTATGAGTACTAAATGGTAACAACCTAGCATTTCGTTTGTAAATATAGCGACGCCATTTGGTTCTCATGCTTCACTTGATCATCATTCAATTGACAGTACACCGTTCGCATTGCATGATGATTCTTATATTTTGAAGTTAATGCAAAATTATCAACATCCCCAAAGGTCTTCATCTCGTTCATCTTCCAGTTCTTGCATCGCATCAGGAGGCACAAACTATGAAAAAGATATTCGTTGATGAGAACATAATAGTAGACAATGGTCTTAAAGTGGGGAAAAAGAAAAAGGGTATAGGGGTATGGGGAATGCTAAATTTTGATTTCCTTGCACAGGTTACTGGTGATTTTGACTATATGATATATACCTTGTCAAATTATCTGCTTTCAAATTTTTTGTCGACAGGCTGTAATGACAAAATCAGCAGCATCTTATGTCTTTATCACCATTAAAATGTCGGATGATTCATGAAAATTATTAGAAGGAAACTTTTCATGATTTATAAAGTTGAGTTGGTAATGTATTTAGGAAACATGAAATCTTTGGATTAAGGAAGGACCTTGCGAGGCAGGGTTTTCAATCCAAGCTGTGATAATATGCTTCGTATTTTACGGGTTCTTTTAATTAGTAAAAGAAATATAATATTCATCAACGGAGAGTTTCTTAGTATAAAAAAAAATTTAAAAATTTTAATTTTAATAAAATTTAGTATAATTATACATCTTATTTTCAAAAATTAAATACATATATTTTATCTATGTTTAATAATTGTAATCTTCATAATTTAAATATTGGTAATATAACATCACATGTTTAGTTATAAAGTACGAATTTTAAGAATTTCGTTCATATAAAGTTTTTTATAATCAAGAAGTAAAATTTTAAAAATTTAAAATAAATTAAATGAAAAATTGAAAAAGAAAAAAGACAAATTTCACATTTTAATATATATATATTTGTTTATTTATATGTTTGAAAATTTGTTGTGCTTTGACGTATAAAATCTCACGCGCTCACTCTGTAGGAGAAGTATGAAATGGCGGGAGAGAGAGAGAGTATGGAGATAGGCGCGTGAAGGGAGAATAGGGAAGATAGATATTCCCATGCAAAATAAAGCAAAGAGTGGGGAAGACAAGAGGACAAACCCGGCAAAAGAAGGTCCAATTCAGTTGGGACACTTACACCAACAACCAACTTTTCTTAATTAACGTTTTATTTACTTAATTAATTATTAATTACTTTTTAAACAATTATTTTCTGATTCTGTGATTAATTTTCTGTATTTGACATACAACATGTTATTTTATTAATAATTAATTAGTGAGTAATCTTAATCAATTCAAGCTGCTCTGCTCTGCAACTACCCTCACTCATAGGCAACCTTTTTTTTTACATGCAAAGAGGGAGTGAGAGCCACTAATCTCCTTTCTCATTTTTATTTTAATATGCAGAGTAAATACAGAGAAGCTTATGAGTTAAGAAACATCTCCATCTCTAAACCCTAAAAAGAAAAGCAAGAAAACAAAAAGAGTCTACCAAGAAGGAACAAGAACTCAAGTAATTATATTATATATTAATATGAAGTTGTCTCTCTCTCTCTCTCTCTCTCTCTGTGTATATATATATATATATACATGTATATATACACAAAGGTTCCTCCTTTTAGTTTTTGCTCTCCCCATTCCGCATCCGCGTCTTCCTTTCTTTTTCTTTCTCCCCAAACACTCTCTTGAGTGTTGATGTGATTCTCCACTGTTACTCCTCACAAAAACCCAATCAGCCTTTATCAAAAAGAAAACTAAAAAAAGAAGAAACAAAAGGAAGAAGAAGAAGAAGAACGAATATGGTTTTTACTTCAATCCCAGCTTATCTTGATCCAGTCAACTGGCAACAAGTAAGAAGTTTAATTCTTGAGTAAAAATTCAAAAGACAAATATTCCTGCTACTTTTTTGTTTTTTTTTTGTTTTTATCTCTGGTTACATATACCCGATTGTTTGATTTTTTTGAAATAAATTTATATCTTTATTTATTGGGTAATATATATAAGTTGATTTTATTTATATATATGTTGCTCTATTTTTCCAGCAACAAGTAGCAAATCATCAAGCTGGAGGAACAAGCGGTGCAGGCATTCACCTTCTTCCTCCTCCTCCTCCTCCTCCTCCGCTGCCACCAGCAGTTCCCCAGCCTCATGGAGAGGGAGGGGCTGGATCGATCAGGCCTGGTTCGATGGCAGATCGAGCAAGGCTGGCCAACATACCAATGCCAGAAACAGCTTTAAAATGCCCTAGATGCGAATCCACAAATACTAAATTTTGCTACTTCAACAACTACAGCCTATCTCAGCCTCGCCACTTCTGCAAGACCTGCAGGAGGTACTGGACAAGAGGTGGGGCCTTGAGAAACGTTCCGGTGGGTGGTGGGTGCAGGAGAAACAAGAGAAGCAAAGGGAGTAACAGCTCTAAATCTTCTTCGGCCGTGAGCGGTGACCGGCCAACTGGGTCTGGTTCTACTGCCTCAATGTCATGTAATAGTAATGAAATGATAGGCCTTGGAACCCCGTTACCACAACTAAGGTTCATGGCTCCTTTACATCATCTCACTGGCCATGATGATTTAGGTCTGAGTTATGGTCCAGTTTCAGCTCCACTAGTGGGAGGAACAAGTGAGTTGGTTCCTGGTACTTCTCTTCTTCTTGATCAATGGCGCCTTCAACAATTTCCTTTATTGGGTGGGTTTGATTCTTCTTATGGATTATACCCATTTGAAGCATCAAGCTACGGAGGTGGAGCGGGTCAGATCCGACCCAAGTTATCAACAACTGGGATGGCAACTCAGTTGGCTTCTGTGAAAATGGAAGATAGTAATAATAATAATAATAGTAATCAGCAGGAGATGAATTTGTCAAGGCAGTTTCTTGGGGTGAATCCAGCAGCAGGATATGATCATATTCACCACTATTGGAATAATGCTGCTACTTCATGGAGTGACGTTTCTAGCTTCAGCTCTTCTTCAACCAGCAACCCTTTATAGATTGCCTCATTTCTTAGTTTCAGTTCAGTCCTCTTGCAACTTAAAATATGGAGAAGCTAGTTTAAAACCCTAGAATTATTACCTTCTTTTCTTCTTTCAAAAATTAGTTTTAGGTCCCAAATTTAATCATTACAAGCTTGTTTGCCACAGGGTGTGCGTGAGTTGTTGGTTTTTTTAGGCAGATGGAGATATATGTATCTTAATATATATGTATCTCAGACATCAAATTGAATAGTATCTTTCTTTTTTGGTATTTTCATGGATTTCAAATAATTCATTCAATTAATTATTTTGAAAAACTTAAAAATGAATATAATCAATTATTTATACTTTAATACATCTTTAATTAATTATTTTTAAAGTTTAAATTGATAAAAAAATCTAATCAATCATGTATATTTCAAGATATCATTACGTGTAAACTCAACAGATTTAAGCATACGATATCTTATTTTGATATTATTTTAAATAAATTTTTAAATTAACTATTTCTAAAAATTTAAAGTGAAGGAAAATTACTTCAATAACTAATTTATATCCCACCTTTACCCAAGTTAAGTATTTGATTGATTCAAACTCATCACAGAATTACTTAATCTAATTCTTCAAATCCATCAGCCTAGCTAGGTTTATAATTCTCTCGTACTCATACCATCACGTGTACATACAAGTTATATCTACGCATAACTTAAAGTTCATAATTAGGACGAAGTAATTCTAACCTTTGGTCGATATTGCTGATGAACTCAATACCTAAAAATGTGAAGTGCATGCAGTAACTATTACCTTAATTTGCACATTAACTTATTTAATTACCCAAATATGATCTTAGAATTATTTCCATCACCTTCAAATTGTCTAGCTTTTTGAAAATCATACGTAATTAATGCATTATTTTACATTTATCTATACAAACATTTGATTATACATTAAACCCAAGAAGTATCTTACACTTAATTAGAAGCATATGAAAATAAGAGAGATCGATTTGATTTTCATTTCTCTCTTGTCCATAATCTGATTTAAGATTAATGTTTCTATGCTTGAATTATCAATTATGTAACACATCTCTTAATAAGCTAGAGATTTTACATATTTGATTAATAATTTTGATTATTTAAGCTAAATTAGGTGATACATCTTATGTATATTTTTATTAAAAAAAAATTGTATTATACTCAGCGTACAATCGTCAAATTATAAATAAAATATATAAATTAGTTTATAATAAAAAATATTAAATCTATTGTGATCGAAAATATTTTTTGTTTATAAAAAAAAAAAAAACTATTTTAGTCAAAACTATGAAATGATACCAAACATTTTGCAACCACTAGTGTCTTTGTGTATGGTTTTGGTCATTACTATAATCATTATATTTCATTCATTTGATTTCCTTAAGTTAAGATTTACATTTTATTTGTAATTTTATATTATCTCAACCTATATAATTATGACATGATATTTGTATGCTTGATTAACCTCACTCTCAACTTAAATTTTGATCATGCAAATTCAACTCTATTACTTTAAAAATTACAAATTGAAATCTTGCTCACATAAAATTAAAATTGCACATAGAAATAAGTCAAAAGCAATAACTATGCTCTTATATGGATTAAAATGTTATGTAAAAGAATAGTTAATTAAGTTTTAAATTGGATGTAACAAAATAAATGCATATTTATTAATGTTATAAAAATATAGGTGAATATTTATATCTTTACACTCTAAGACCAATGATAATACTATATGAAATAATTAACTAATAATAATAATTTAAATAACACAAATTAGTGAAAAACGAATTATCTATACCACCACAAGAAAAGGTAAATTATCATTCTAGTTCCCAATTTAGACCTATTTTTTAAAATAGCCCCAAATGTTCTTTTTTTTTTTTTTTGTTCCGAATTGATCTTTGAAAATTTTAATGTTTTCAAAAGCATTAACATTGTCAATGCTTTCAAAAGTATTACGACTTATACATTAATTGTTCATCTTCTTCGCTAAAGAGAAAAAAAGTTAAAGAGATTGAGAGGGGGAAGTAAAGAGGATCTGCATGAATTATGTTGAAACTATACAACTTCTTTTAAATTCAAATTAAAAACAAGAAACAAATCATTTAACATATTTATGGTTAAGTGAATCTTGTATGACAAATATAACATAATGATAGTGTTGATATGAATCTAAAATACACGACCATCAGTCAAGCTTATGAATCAAATATCTCAAAACTTAAAAAATTGAAGGAAATTGCTCATGTAAGGTCACTGGTATTTTAAGTCTTACTAACAATGAGCTTTTAGTTGAACCAACAAAGCCTCCCTAATTCTTCAAACGAGTAATTACCAAAAACCTTAATGCTTTTATAGAAGAAGTTTGTAATTCACTTTTTTGAGTTCCCCTTTAATTTCTTATCTATTTCTCTCTCACATCATACGTTATTTTTTCTTCTTATATTTAGTCCATAAAGTTTTCTCTTTCTTGATTCTTTATCACTTTAGACCAAATATTCAACTTTTCACATATTTTTTTCCTTTTATTTTTGCTATGAATTTTCATCCTTCCCTTGCAAAGAACCATAGTTTTTACTTCTTAAATCTTAACTCCCCATAATTTCAAATCTCTACCCATGAAATGTAGCCAACATATTCTAATTCCTCACACGCAAACCCTCTGCTTCACTTTACTGTTGACTTCTAATGCACCATCCATCTAGCTCTAAAAGAGCTCCATGTATGTCATTGAGTTCTTAACTGGAATCAGAGAATTGGGTATGCTATAAGCCATCTAAAGAGAAAAGAAAACACGAAAAAGCTCTTGAAAGCTTAGAGAGTAGGCATTTATGTTTTTTATTTTATTTTTATGAAGAGAAGAGAAACATATATGAAGAAGAGAAAATCAAGTTTTTTTT